TGTTTAGGAAAGTAAAAATCCTTATCTTTTAGACAAATATGTCGAAGTATGTACACATCTGCTATAAGAAATTTGAGGGTTGAGGGACTGTGGTGAATATAGGTGAAACAAGACTTCATCTAGTTTATAATCTGAAAGCTTAGTGGTGCCTGTCTAGGGTTTTATTATATTATTCTAGTCTTGTTTTTAAAATTTTCCATAATAAAAGTTTTTTTATTTTTATATTTTTCAAATTCTGTTTGTAATGTCCCATAAAATAAATTTAATCTGGAGTGAATTCGTATTTAAGTTGCTGATTTTATTAGTATTCTTTCTAAGCATTATATTTCTGCACATATTTGGGATTGGTTTGCAGGCTTGTTTTGAGTAGAAAGTTTGATATAGGTCTTGTTTTTGCTTTGTTTTGTTTTCCCTCTCATTTATTGCCTCCCTGTGTAGTATGTATGTGGTTGCCTGTATTGCACCCAAGTGCAGGGCTAGGTGTGATGTGGCCTTTGGGGGCCTGTCTCCGCTGTGGTTCTGGCGGGACGGCGGCTCTGGAACCTAATCAGGGGTGCTTGGTTCATTTGTTAGGGCTGTAGCCGGAGCCTAAACCTGGGTCCAAGCAAACTGGAAACCACGTCCTACGTTGGGGTCTTGAGGAATTTGTTACATCAGCTTCTTATTCCGGGGTAGCCCTAGGCTCTGTGTGGCAAACCTGGCCCCAGTGCCTCCCCTCTGTGGAGCGGTATTTGCTCTGGCCATCTCTGCTGCCGTCAGCCTCACCTGCTGCTTTGCATTTGTTAGATGGGGATTTTAATCTTGCTTTTTGAGGCTGACTATGTCTTTTCGATCTTGTGTTCTTACTTTTTATCTGCCCTGGCTATGTGTTTGGAGCAAAGTAGACACATCAGAGTATGAACTCATTGTGCTCTCTCAACTGGAGGAAATCCTTGACTGAATCACTAAAGATTCCTTTCAATTTCCCATTCAAAGACTGTAATCTGCTGTGTATATCTTCATAAAGGTGATATTTTTTCCTTTGTGTTGGAGATAGCATACTTTATTCAGTATTTTTCCTCCCAGAAGACTGTTTTGGAAATCTCCTTAGAGAAAATAGCAACCCGCTACCCCATAAGTTATTCTGTCTGTGGTCTCCTCAGCACACATCCCTCTCTGAAATTACCTGATTTATCTGCTCCCACATTTGTCTGTCCCACTGGGATCTAAGCTTCCCGGGAACAGAAACTTTCTCTCTTCTCTGTTTGTATCTGCAGCCCCTTTATGATAGTTTCTGTCACATGGCGGACACTCAATAATATTCTGATAATTACTGAATCAGTCACTGAAACCTGTCTGTGCCTCCCTCATGGTCATGCTGAGAGATGGCCTGCTGCATGTCCTCTGTGAGTGCTGGGAAGCAGGTGTTGGACTGCTACAGCTATATAGAGTGACTAGTGTTGTCTAATCCCACCTTCATTCATCAAAATCGAGTCATTGAGGGCCTACTCTGGGCCAGGCACTGACATCCAAGTGTTTATATCTCATTCATTTCCTATATCCCTTTTCCATGTCACCTCCTGTCCACTGCCAGTTACTGGGTTTCATTATAAATCTCAGATGAACAGAGTGGGTTGGTAGTACTGATTAGCGGGTGGCGTGAAGGCAGTGAGCTAGTCTCCTGACTGGCTCACTGCTGGAGGCCAAGGCTTTGAGGCATGTGCTGGAGTTGGCTAAGGCCCTTCCTCTCACAGAGCTCGTTCCAGTGGGCAAGACAGACTCATAGCTCTTGCAGCAGTTCATCACTTACTTGGTAACAGCTTAGTTATGTGGCAAATTGATGTAATACAGAGAGGCCCCTGGCTCCTCAGTATACCTTCTCCTGTGTGAACAGGCTCCATGTGGCCTGAGGAATGGCAGTAGTTGGGGAGCTCTGCTTGCAGCCTTAGCTCTGCGTCCTGTTCTGGACATCAGTGTTCATGGTGGCAACATGGGCCGAGCATTCCTGGCGCTGCTGCCCATCCCGATGTGTCAGTTAGATGATGGGTAGACACGTGGAAGTGCCCCCTTGTCTGCTGTCCCACTGCCCCCTAGTGAATGGCCATGGAAAAGCCTCAGAACAATTTTGCTTTCAGATGTTATCTTCCTGCTTGACTGGGACTGTTGGCCAACAAATGTCCAGCATGGCCTGGCTATTTTACTGAATCAGGTTCTCTGATTGCACCAGGGATAGTTAACTGGTAAGTGCTGGCTGCTGAGGATCCAAGCACAGATTAGCCATGCTTGCATTCCTGGAACCTGCCGCAGCATTATGTTTTGAAAAATCCTGTGAGAAATCCCCAGTATTCACTCTCACTGTTTGTATTTAGTTTTTTGTTGTTGTTGTTGTTGTTTATTTTAAAGTGTTGGCATTCCACAGGCATTCCAGAAGCCTTCTTGGCATTTTTAGGTTTTTCACAGCTGCCTCAGGAGCCAAGTTACTACTCCTCTGTATTCTGCAGGTAAGAAGAAAACACACAAGAGGAGGCTAGCAGCTTGCTCAAATTCACAGGCCCCTCGGTGACCCAGCTGGCATTAGGACTTGACTCTCAGGTGGTCAGCCTGTCGCCCAGCCCTGCTGGCTTGGATTTTCCTGGGAGCAGTGTGGTCCTCCAAACCCAAACCTTTCCTCAGGCACTGTCGTGCCCCATATTACCATCCTTCCCCCACACCCACGTCCACTCCCGCTGCGGCTTCAGAAAGGCTTCATGCCAAGGAGAGAAGCAATGCCAAGGAAATGAGCTTTCAGACACATCACTTATCCTGCCTGGTGTTTCTGAGCAGGCAGATCCATGCACTCATAGTGCGGTCTGAAGGAAGAAGCCCAGAACTCAGTGTCACACTGACTTAGGTTCATGGTCCACCTTCGTCATCGACCAGCTCTTGGGGTCATGAGAATGAAGTCAACCAGAAACCTAGAATGGTGTCTGAGCACACTTGACCCTTAGCAGAGAGTGGATGACAAGCAGATGGCATTATTCCTCCTACAAGCACCAAGCCTGTCTTCCGGAGTTCTCAGACCCTACTTTGCCATGACGTTGGTGTACCATTGTGGTGGCCTGCAGTGACCGTGCCGTTTATGGGGATTTTCTTTAATTTCTATACAGTCCCGTGTGGTTCTGTTCCAGGTTTATATGTTACTAGAGGCCCAGTGTATGAAATATGTACATGAAATTTGTGCATGGGTGTGGTCCCTAGGCCTGGCCAGTGATCGAAGTGCAAGTGACTTGTGTGGAAGGACAGGTCCCAGTTGACCTCTGGGCCCTGGGCAGCACCTGGGCCTCTATCCCCCCTCCCTCCTTCGCCTAGTCACGGGGCCCAAGTCCCCATGCAGAGATGTGGTGAGTTCAGCTGGACACTGTGGGCCAGGGTGCAGTGTGAGCCTCTGGGTCGCCCAGCGGTGCCACCCGAGTGGGCAGCGTGCTCTCTCCTGGCAGGCCTCGTAGACCAGCTCCTGCGTGAACCCATGGAACCCAACTGGCCCCTGTAAAGCCCAGCTCATCCGGAAGAGGCTGTGTGGGTGCAGGGTGGGCTCCTTGCTGGTGTCCGGCACCTGAATGTGGGGGGTAGGACTGGCTACCCCAGCACTCGAGCCCTGGCATCCCGGGGGAGGGTAGCAGGGGGAGTGAGAGCAAGCTTGGACACCCTGCATTCTCTCCGCACCTCCATTCTCATCACCCCCGCCCCCAGGTAGCTAACGAGAGGTCACAGGCCCCCACCTGGGCGCCGCGGGAAGCTAGTTGCCATCACCCAACACAAGTTCCCTCTCCTAGCCCGGGACTCAGCCCTGATTGGGCAATCAGGGCCTGCTGGCTGCTGGTTACCGTCTGTGGGGCTGAGCCCCTTGCCTGGCTCCCTCAGTACCTGAGAGCCAGCAGCTGCCCTGCTCTCTTGTTTGCTGTCTGCAGGATGATGGGCGGGGCAGTTGGTCCTCATTCGTACCTGCCTTGGCCTGGTGCTGCCTGCTTACCTGCTCCACCATCCTGTCATGGTCCCAATCTTGTTGGGGCCCATCAGGGCCTGTAACACCTCCACTGCCGCTCACTGCCAGCACCGTGTCGCTAACACCCTTCATGTTCCCCGCTGCCATGTTCCTCACCACCATGTTCCCCGCCATCCCCTGGTGGTCAGTGCACGTCATAGTGAGCGGTGGAACTTGCGGTCGAACTCCTGGTTGAGGGGACAATTTGCATATTGGGCTTTTATTATGTAGGATATCTGAGTAAGTGGGACCTTGGTGGAGTTAGAAAAATTTTCAAGGTCACTCAGTTAGTGAAGGGTGATGTGGGTTCAGCCCAGGTTAGCTGGTTCCAGGTTCCTTGTCATGGTTAACCAAGCCCCTCCTCCTAACTGTGACCATGAGGGTGAGTCCTCAGCTGTGTGCACCAGCAGTTCTGTTTGTTCCCACCAGGTGGGCGAGGGAGCCACTGCAGCCTCCAGCTCTATGGAGTTTGCCTCACCAAAAGGACATCCCTGCCTCTTACAACTTAGAGAGTGAGTCACTGGCTTGGTGTGGTGCCAGGTGTACAGACTCCATACTCAGATGTACGGACATCTGCACCTGCCATTAGGACCTGGCCCCAGCTCTTCCCTTGTAGCAGTGAGCATTGGGCCACTTAGCCCCTTGGTTTTTTTCATTTATAATAGGGCATCATAATAATCCTACCTACCTTTTAGAGAAATTGTAAGACTCAAATGAAAGAATCTGTGGAAAGCACTTGGTCCAGTACTTGGCACGTGCAGTAGGAGCATTCAGTAAGTGTTAGTGCTTGTCATCCGCGAAATGGTTCTTGCAATGACCTACCTTGAAGTGTTGAGGTGAAAATTAAACACAAGATAGGCAAGCGATCTAGCATAGCACGGGTTTCAGTTCGTTATCGCTCTTCTTCTCATTTTTAATGCTAATGCTGTGAGCTGGAATCTCCTTGCAGCCCTAGCCCAACCGCTTATGGTTAACATGGGCTTTGTTCTCTTCCTACTAGGCCAGCGAGCTGGAGAACCGAGAGTTGGAGCTGAGACGCCGCAACACCTTCTACAAGGATCAGCTGGCGCATATGGAGAGGAAGGTAAGACTGGTGCTCGCACCCTTTTTGGGGGCCCAAGTCTTAACGGCACTGACAGGGAGAGAGGAACCCACAGTTCCTCAGTGCCCATTCACCCCAACAGCCAGTCACCCCATGGATATGCCCTCCTACATGCCACATCGAGCACCTCACCCCCAAACGTTCAACAAGTGGCAGTCATAGAGATCTTTTTGTTGAATGCCCTCGCTCATTATAGCTCAATTTTAGTAAAAGAATCATTGCACCACAGGGCAGTGCTGAGACCCAGTATACCTTTCACAACTTAGTTAAACTGCACTGGATAAAAATGATAATAACATGAAGTCTTGCTATACAAATATATTAAAGTAGTATTATTGATTTTCTCCTGGGATTCGTGGAGATCAAAGTGCACCATGGCTATCCTACTTTTCTAAGGATAAGCCTTTGAAATGAATGAGATTCAAAGACATGTCATGCCTTTTTTAAAAGCCTACAACAATTCCTGAAAATGCATTTGGTAACTTGCTTACTTTGAAGGTGGGGAGGGGGGGAACTCACTTGTTGATCACGGCAGATTATTTTTCAAAGAAACGGCTTAAAATGTGGGAGGGTAGAAAAAGAGCTCTCTTCTGCCTGAGACAGCATGCCAAGCAACCCGAGCCATCAGCTTATTGCAGGCGAATCTTTGAGAATCGTTTGTCACGGTTTGGAGCTTTGAAATTGACAGTTTGCTTGAGGGGCTTGATTTTCATAGGGGCTTTCTCCTGTGGCATGCCACACTGGAGCCTGGCAGAAACATGGATTTCTGGATTTCTAGGCAGCAGGGACATGGGGGCGTTTCCTCCCTGCTCCACGGACACCCCCACCTGTCCACCCTCTCTGGAGTGTCTAGGAGACCATCAGAATTGTGATGTGAGCACAAATGCTCATGGTGACAGCCTGAGGTCCGAAGGGCCGGCAGGGGACCTGGAGCTGCCTACAGAGGTGGGTGGGCCTTAACAAGCACACGTTTCCTGCAACAGCCTCCTGCCCAGGTTTGACGAAAGCTGTAATGACAAGGATTGTGATTTGAGATCCTGGAAAAGGGTAAAAACATTCCACCAGCCATAGCTCTAATTATCACAGTTGCCCATATGTTCATAAGCGCAGATTTTTTTTTTGTTAAGTGTGCAATTTTACGATCTCCTGCTGTGCTTCTCCTGCGTTTTCCTCTCTGGGTTTGGCATGTGTGTGTTTGGGGTGGAAGGCAAGTAGCCTTACAGCTTTTTTCCTCCCCTGAAATCTGTTTTCCCCTCGTCACGCTCCTGTCTCCTCTCTGTTCTAGTCCTCTGCTTTCCTGAAGGAAAGGACACTCTCCGGGATGAGCCCTTCTTTTTCATCTGCTCTCCCCACGCATCATAAAGTGAAGTCCAAATTCCGTTTGCATGCACATGCAGGCTTTTATTTTGTTAATGATGTTTTCCTATAGGATTGTGAACAGTATGGAATGCATCCAGAAGGAGGTACAAAAACATGATCTCCTTTCGACTCTTAAACAGCGCATTAATACACACACACACACACACACACACACACACACACACACACACACACACATTGATTTCAAGAAGAAGGGAGAGGGAGAGAGAGATAGAAACATCCATGATAAGAGAATTATTGATCGGCTGTCTTCTGCACACCCCACACTGGGGATCAAAACCGAAACCTGGGCATGTGCCCTGACCAGGAATCAATCCGTGACCTGCTGGTTCATGCTCAACCACTGAGCCACGCCAGCCAGGCTAGAGAGCAGCATTTTACTGTGATAATACAAAGGAGGAAAGAGCCTCAAACATCTCAGGAACTGGAGATTGGTGAGGGAGCTGGAGAACGGAGCGGGCTGGAGAGAGGGGATCGAGGAGGCATGGTCAAAAGCTTAATTGTATCCGTTTTGAAAAAGTTTTCGATTTTTCTCTGTGGATAATTTTATTCCGGTAACAGCTTGGGAGGATGGAAACAGCATCCGACAATCTCTTTTATGAACTGTTGCTTTTATATTATTCTGCTTTCATTTGTTGAATACTCTCAGACCTTGACATTTCCGTACACACAGCTTCAGGGCCTTCCAACCATCAAGTTCCTCTCCTTTTCTTTTTTCCCCCAATTCCTTTTAAGTTTAGAAATTGGTGGCAGAAACCTGTTCAGGGGGAAACGTGGAACAGTTGTTGAATCATCCTCTACCACCCCAGATTGTTGGGCATTTGGCCATAGGTGAGAGAGAAGGTTAGGGTCGGGGAGACGGAGGCCGGGCTCTTGGAGGCCCGTTGGTGGTCCACATGCCTCTGGGCTGGACCTCTGCCGTAGGTTACCTGCCTGGAGTGCCGGCCCATTGTGCTTGGCATGTAGGAACAGCCTGCACAGAATCCAGCCTCATTTTTCAAGGAGGAGGCTTCTTAACCCCTTTGTACTGCAGTATTTATCCCCTAGATGATTATTCTTAAGTGCGCAAATCATATTTTGTAGGGCTCCTATGCTTTATAATCTTTTTGAGTAATTTTTCCTCACGCCCACACTGTAAGATCTAAGTGAGGAGTGTTTTCCATTTCACCACAGAGTGCAGAGAGCTCTCTGTGAGGGTCTTAGGGCACCTATAAGCATATCCCAGACTCAGAGCTCACACACACGCTGAGAAGCAGAGGGCAGTGCGGGTGAACGCTGGACTTGGGCCCACGTGCAGCTGTGTCAGCGCACTTTGCAGCCGCTTCATCTTCTTGCATCTCAGTCTCTTCAACTGTAAAATGGAAATACTAATGCTTTCTTTTAGGGAGTTGGTGGGGGCATTAGCAAGGTAAAATCTGCAGAAATGTTGGCGTATGCCATGGCTCCACCTATACCATATCTGTATTCAGCTATCATGAGGCTAAGGGTAACTTATGCTGAGTGGCGCTGAACTCGTACCGATGGCTGTTGAGCTGACCACTCTTCTGTTCTCCACCATGGGCCCCAGTAGGGTGGGGATGTGAGCGGGCTTTGGAGTCCAGCAGACCTCAGCCTTAGTTCTGCCTCAGTAATTTAACAGCCTTATGACTCTGAGCAAGTTGTTTAAATTCCAGAGCTTCTGTTCCCTTATCTTTGAAATGGGAATTTTAAGACTAACCTGCCAGTTGTTTTGGGGATGAGTAGTCATTTCTGTAAAAGTGCCTGAGATGGAAGTTTTCATTTCTCTCAATGTTATTTCCAGCCTCTTTCCTCTTATTTAATAAACGTGTAGCCATTCATTAATTCCACATTTAATTCTGCTGTATGCCCAGAGATTAAGACAGTTGTGGTTCCTGTCTCATGAAATTCAAAATCCAGTTTGGAAGGGGGAATGGAGGTTTGGAAGATTAGGACCCCCAGATGGGAAGTGCCCGAGAGCCAGCTGCATATGACCAGCAGACCTTCCAGCTGCATAAAAACAGTCTCTCTAAACTGAGAGTTTTTTCTAAACTCAGCACCTGCAAAGTGGAGAGGGCATTTTGGGGATCTAGCGTCTAAGAGTGAGGCAGGGAGAAAGGAAGAAACTCAGAAATATGTCTTCTTTCTGGATTTCAGGCTCTTTTCCTGAATGTTGATCTCATTTCCCTCCCGTTGGTGTACACCATCCCAGCCCTTCTCCTATTTTTGCCTTTGCTTCTACTCCAGTCTTCTTGTTTTAAGGAATGACTGTCATGTGATCCTGCCAGTCCTACAGCCTTCTCAGTGACAGCACTGAACGGCTTCCTGCCTGGTGTCTCTGGGGGTGCCAGTTAGGGCCTGTCAGGAAAACAGGAGCTGCTCTAGGGTTCAGGGAAGAGAAGTTTAATACAGAAGGGCCACTTCTCAAGAGAAGTTGGAAACGTGTAAAGGGCCCAGCCTCACAGATATTGCGGAAATGTACTCACAGCCACAGGGCTGTGTGCACTCAGTAGAATGGCTGACAGGGGAACGATGGGACACCTCCAAGTGCAGGTAAGGCTGTAGTTTAACCGAAGCTCTCCAGCACTGCTGCTGTGCTGTAACTTGCCAAAGTGTTTGATGAAGCTGAATGTGCACATTGGATGGGCCCCTTTGTATGATGTACAAACACAGCAAAACTAACCTGTGGTGTCAGCCAGTGGGATAATATTACCTTTTGAGGACAGTAGTGATTAAGGGAACATGCAGGGGGCAAGGTTCCTTTTCTTGACCTGGGTGCTAATTACACAGGTGTGTTCAGTGGTGAGCGTTCATCAAGCTGTGCTTAGAGGATTTTACACTTTTCTGTCATTATGTCCTACTTAATAAAAAGTTGAATTCGGCTAAGAAAGGAAGGCCTGCCCTCAGGCACTAATAAATTTTTAATTTTGTTGTTGTTGTTGTTGTTAGTCTAGACCTGAGGATATTTTCCCATTGATTTTTAGAGAGAGTTAAAGAGGAGGTGGGGGGGGCAGAGAGAGAGAAATACCGATGTGTGAGAGACACATTGATTGGTTGCCTCCCACATGGCCCAATCAGGGCCGGGGATTAGGCCTCAGGCACTCATAGAACCACCCGCCATTCCTTCACTCTCTGGGCCCTGCGACCCTGTCACATGTTCTCGCACTCACCACACTGTCTTGTGGTTCCTGGGATCTGCAGTTTTTTTCCACTTCCAGACTGTGAAGGTATAGGAGCTCAAAGTTCTCTTTGATCTGGTTCATCAGGGTGATTCATCACCAAGGACTGGGGAGGCACAGAATAGGTGCTCAGAAAAAGCAAGAATAATGGGAGGAAAGTGTGTGTGCACAAGTGGGAAATAGTGACACAGAGGGGCCCCCAAGAAGAAAAGGGGAGCTCTTGCCAAAAAGGCTTCTAGGTAGAAGCTGTGTGTAGAGAATGAGAAGGACATGGAGAAGGTGAGGCTTCTGGATGGAGACCCCAGCCATTGTGCTCCATGTACCAGTTGGCTGTGGGTAGTAAGCTGTAAAAATAGGTTGGGGTCAGATTGTGAGGGACCTTGGATGACTGGCTGACACGCGTGGCCTTCCTTTAGGTCAGTGGTT